TTGAACATTTTTTCATATGTTATTTTCTGTTTCTACTTCTTTGCCTAAGTGAAGAGAGGAACTAAATGGAGACATGGACTGGTGGACAGAAGGATAGGTAGATGGGTGGAAGAGTGTTAAAGGCAAAATATTGGGAGGAGTACAAGGAAAAAAATGAATGGAAGGTGGAGGGAAGGCAAGCACATGAAATAAAACAGAGAAGTGGAGAATTTTTAAATTTTTGTATAGGTTTTAAAGCTTTTAATTATTTTCAATCTAAACTTTAATACAGTTGACATTTAAAAATATTTAAAACTGGCCTATTTGACCTAAACCTACAGAAGCACAATTTTCTTTGTTAGCTGCTAAATCTTGCAGACCTCTCAAGTTTGGCCCTGGTCTGACTGACTCATTTGTGGAAAATAAGTTTCATGTTACCCAGAAATTTATCTTCCACTCTCTTCCTCATCTTTGTTTTCTTTTTGTCAAAAGTTAAGGCCACTGTTTGCATTAAATTAAATATTTAATTGTGTTTTTCTCATCACATTTGGTCTAAGGAGAAAAAGGCAAAGGAAATTCATATTTCTAATCAATATACTTTTAATATGGCTGGGAACCAATCAGAATGAGTTGTACAAAACCAACTATGTGTGTATGAATCTGTGGCACACTAATCATCAGAGTGCTGGAGAATCCTACCAGGAGGTCACATCCTTGAACATTTCTTGACCACATTGGATGATTCCGGCCAAGAGAACAGACTTCTCCATCTGTTGGCCATAGAGATAATTTTAGGAAACATTCTAGGTCCCTCCTTACTTGGGAATTGCTTGTGAAGAACTCATCTCCATCCACTTTCCTCTGCCTGAGCCACAGGCAGAGCTGACCAAGAAGGAAGAAGTGAAATTCAGTTTTGTCCACTATTGCAGATGCTTCAGTTCTGAAGACCCAAATCATCCTCTGAGATTGGCCCCTCCAAACCCCAGCCTCTGTACTTTCAGACTGTTAAACAGAGGGGCCCTCTTCTCTTCCATGGAGCAAATTCAAACTTTGGCTCTTGCTGCTCATAAAGCATATGTTCATCATTGCCTGGACGTACATGATTCCATTGACAGATTGCTGCCATGCTGAGGCAAGAGGATCACATGTTGGAGAACAGCATGGGCAACTAAGTGAAACCTTGTCTCAAATTAAAAGAAAATTGGTGCTGGGGTTATAGTTCCATGGTAGAGTGCCATCGAGTTTTACCTTAGGTACCTATAAATGTGACACATTTGTATCACCATTTTACATTTAAAGAAATGTAAAGTATACTTTTATTCATTAATTTTTCTTATAGTTCTACCTTTCCTCTTGACACTAAATCCTAGGATAAAGTGATGTGTGTGGTGTATAGCTATTGTTCTCCAAATGCAAGAAGGAATTTTTTGGTTTTTGCTCAAATTTATTTATTCTTG